GGGGGTTCAACTTGTTACTACTTGTTAAAGATGTGTTACTAACAAGTTATTAATTCAATAAAAGTAAATCTTCTTGAAGATTATTCTAAAAAATGCCCATATTTTGTTGCTTTGATTAGTTTCCACTCTGGCTGATACCTTTTCCACATTTGATCTGTTGACTTGCATTATGTTTCTTTCATTCATTGAGAAATGAGTAGAAGTGAAAGTGTTTATTTTAGTCAAGTGTTTGGTATTATTTAAGTCTTGCTTTTGTATTGTTTTTATTTTGGATTTTAAACCACGTTTCCAGACCCATTGCATTGTTACTTCCTCCAACTTCATTGGTGTCAAAGGTCACATGACATCACTTTGTGATGTGATACCGCTACCTGTGAGGTCTTTGATGGCTCGCCGGCCCACTGGGTGATTAAAAAGCTCATGATCTGGCCCCACATTCAAAAAGGCTGGACACCCCTGGTCTAGCTGCATCTTTGGCACTATTCTGCAGCGCACACAAATCATTGCCTATTTCTGCACTCTCTGTTTTGCTGCCATGTCTGGATCTCCTCAGACTTTGGAGCCTGAATCCTGCCAATTAGCAAGTCTTGAACAACATATACGGGTAGGGACAAAAATTACGCATAAACTGGTATAAGTGATTGGAAACCGGTTTAAATCTACAGCATAACAGAAGTTCAGTGCACATAAACCACTTTCAAAATAGCCAAAACTAGTTTAAGATAAACCTGGATGGATATATTATCAGATTAAATCAGTTTATTGAACTTCTGTCCCAGATCCCCTTCAGATTCAAGCGCTCTGCTTCAGCAGAGCAGGGAGGCATGCTCTAGCATCCCTTGGTTTCTGGCCTGGACTACTGCAGGCATGTGGCTGCATTTCTAGAATCAAAAGTGAATGTCTGTTCACTTGCTTCTCGGTTCAATCTACACGGGTTAAACAACCTGCGAAGACTGAATTGATTCAGCCTTGAGCTTTTTTGACTGCCTATACTTAGCCTATGAGGCTTAATCTGTAGGCAGAAGATGAAAGAAAAGTGGAACTCCTTTTTTTTTATTATATGTTTTCCATTTGAGCCCCTTGTATTATACTAGTCAATTTTAAAATAACTCTATCCAGCAACTTTTTCTCTGACTCTGTGGCTTTGTATGCTACGTTCTTCACTACCTTGTTTAGAAACTTCAAATATTTTTTCCTGCCTACCAGGTTTTGTCCCTTTTCCATATGGCAAACGATTTTTCCCTGAGTGTGTTGAATAGAGCTCACAACACAATTACTTATTCAGTAACTCCCCCCTCCCCCCCCCCCACTACATTCTTGCTGAAGGATTTTGAAGAAAACTTTGTGTCCATGTAAAACCCGCTCAGTTGACCATAAGGGGACATAGATATGACCCTCTGCAAGTCTGGGGCCTGAGTGTGTGTTACATTCTTGATAACCTGTTGTTAACAGCCTTCATGGCTACTGGAACTCCAAAGTTGAGCTACAGAGCAGTAGAACATGAACAATACGTGCCCCTGGAGGCTGGGGGGGGGCACAGTGGACGACCACCTGCAGGCAGCAATGGTGGGGGTGGGGGCGTGGTGATGGCAAACTGAAAGAGAGCAAATTTAGATTAGACATCAGGAAAAAATTCTTTACAGTGGGGGTTGCTAAAATATGGAATAGGCTTCCAAGGGAGGGTCGTGCTGTCCCCTTCCTTGGAGGTGTTTAAAAGGAGATTGGACAAACGCCTGGCAGGGGGGTTGGACTCGATGATCTGATAGGTCCCTTCCAACCCTAACAACTATGAAACTATGGCGAGTGGGGAGCTCCCGCAGACGACCGCGGCGGTGTTGGCAGCAGGTGGGGGGTGGGGGTGGTGAGCACTGACTGGTGGTAGGTGACCACCTGCAGATGCTGCCAGTGGTATTAGCGGCAAGGGGGGAGTGGTGAGCAGCAACTGCCTGCAAGCGTCCCCAGCAGCACTTCTTTCAGGGGGTGCACCACCAATCTGTCTATGCATCGCCAATGCAGTAGAACATGTGTTCTCTTCAGATGTGGGGGAGTAGATTCATTAGCTGACTCTTGAACACGTAGGTGCTGCTTTTATTTTATTGAAAAAAAAAATTGATTTGTGTGTATGTAATAGCATTCTTGCCTTCAAGTTATCAAAAACAGAGAGAGCTAGCTTGGAAAAGACACTGAGGTTTTTCAGTCTCTGCCCTTGCCAAAGCAGGATTTCTTCCTCCAAGTATGTTCTTGGCAAGTTTTAACAGAACATGTTTTAGCACCAGCAAACTTTCACCACTCACCTTGGGAGACTATTCCACAGTCCGCATGTCACTGTCCATTTTTCTTTGCTGTTCAGTCTAAGTCTCCCTTCCTTCAACTTTAACATACCCTTTGTTTGCACTTCCGTATTTTCCATTATAGTTTTTCTCTCTCCCTGATGGTTATTTCCTTTGAACCCTGATATGCTGTTTGTCATTTTATCCTTGGGCATTACTAAGTCAGTCAAGCTGTGAATATTTAATGCTTGTAATTTTCTTTCCGAAGGTATGGTTTTGACAGTCATTTATAGAAGGATAATTTATTACAGCCCAGATGGCATGAACCTTTTTAGTAGCCATATCTTACTGCAAATTCGTGTGCAAGTTACTGTTTCCTGCGTTACATTTTTGTGGAACTTGTGCAATTTATTTTTATCTGTCTAGATTCTTATCTCCCTGAATTTGGCTTTTTATGTTTCTGAAAGGCAGCATTTAAAAAAAAAAAAAAAAAAATTGGATGAAATTTACCAGATTTTTTGGCTTTCACTTTGATCCCAACAGGTTGTGATGGGCCGGGGTGAGAGTTGTGATGTTGGATTAAGCAACATTTTACCTGCCGTTTGGTGCTGTAGGAGTGTACTGCCAGTTTTCTTTCACCTTCTCACCTCTGGCTTCCTAACTTTATGTGCAAGCACCCAGGTTTAGAGGAAGGCCATTTGCAAAGCTTCCTCTGGCATCTCCCAACTTAATTCTGTGCACTGTTGATTATCACGGGAAACAGACGTAGCAGCATGCAGCAGAAGTATCGGGAACTAACTGTATCAGGAATAGTTGAAACTTGTTTGCAGCCTGCATTTCCTGCCTCTCTACTTGTCCCTTTTGATGCTCTGTATTCCTAATATTCACTGGTTGTCCTTCATCCTGCATCATTTTATGATGAAGTTTCTGTGAGCTGCTATTAATGCAAGTCATCTCATTTTGTGCTGATTAATAACTTAGATTTTTTTTTTATTTTAGTGTCAAAAGTTTATATGGATTAGTTGCACAGTTTCAAGAGCTTTGGTGAAAATCTGCATAAAGGCTCCTTTCCAGTGTAAGTAATTTCAGTTCTCTGATTCTTTCTTCATTATTGACATCTTTGATCACTGCAATCTTTGTTGCCTTCATAGCTTAAAACCTTTCTTATATGCTTCCAAAACAAAGGAAAGATTCACTCTATCCAGTTCATGAAAGAGACTGTAAATTAATGTTTGCTTTAGTACTAATGCCCATTCCTTTGAATAACTTTGGCACATCCTTTTGTTTGTTGTTTTTGGAGGGTCAGATCCCTTGTAACTTACTCAAGCAAAACTTCCACCCACATTGGTAGAGGTTTTCCTTATTTTAAGAGTGTAGGATGGGGACCAGGATGTCATGTGACTTACTGCTAAGCTGTATATTTTGCAGCAGACTTCTACATGCATGTTTCCAAAGACTAAATCTAAAAGCCCACGAGCTCTTCTATTCTGGTAGAAACCCAGATGGAAAAAAATAATTAGACAATAGAATATCTATCTTCTATTTGTAATTGCATGCAAAAATGTAGATTTTACAGGTATTTGAACTGGACCACTTTTTGGCTAGACCCCGAATAACTGAGTTTCAGAGTTTGCAGTCTGGCTTTGAGAACCATTAACCTTTATCTGAATCATTTCATGTACTTGCTTGACATGTAATAACATGGAAAGACTCTGTGTTTCTAAATCTAAACTGGCCCTTTAGAAATCTCTCTAGAGAACCTTTCACTCCTGCATCATGGGCATTTCCACACAAATTTTGAGGAGGTTGCCACGTCTATCCTTCCAACAAATGTTATTGTTGCTGCATATTTTGTGCAAGCATTTGCTGGCTTGCTGGCCGGAGCTGCAGGCTGGTATATATAGCCCCTCTAGTACATATCCTGTGTAACCCTTCTGCTGGGACCTGGTAGCAAAACAAGGGCTAAGTCCAAATTTGGGGAGTTTTGGCTTGAACCCCTCACCCAGAAACCTGGAACAATTTCATCTTTTACTGAGGGTCCTAAAAGAGCATCTTTCCCGCTTGCAAGCAGTGCAGATACCAACAGTATATATAAGTTTATTAATAGGAAAGAAAATAACTAGACTGTATCAAACAGAACAACTATGGAAAGCCCCAACTATTAAATACCCCCAAAATACGAAATAACTCCCCAGACAAATAACATCCCAAACAACAGAAGAAAATCTGCAAATAACAAACAGCTCCAAAGAACAAGCCCCTTGGGTCTTCTGGTGCACCTCTCTCCTTGAGAACTTTTTCCACCTGGGAGGTTACCACCTCACCCAGCAAAAAGGAGTAGAAGAGCTGCTCCTTAGTTCACTGGGGAAGATCATCCCAACCCGCCAGCCTGTGCTTGAGATTGCCGCTGCTGGGACTGGTGCTGAAGTGTGCTGCAGCAAGCCCAGAGGTGTGCTGCCTCATGCTGCTGCTCTGGGGAGCACTGCAACATTCTGCCTGCCACCTTTTGGAGTCACTGCTCTGCTGCTGCTTGCCATCAGGTTCATCTTGCTGTTCTCTCAGCACTGCTGGGGGCAGCTGAGGTGTGCTGCCTGCTGCTCATGGTCACTGCTGGTGATATTTACTTTTGGGTTCATGCTTTCTGTTTCTCACCAGTGAGGGCCTACCAGCCTCTGTGAGGATGCTAACAAAGGGGCATGCCATTCTGGAGTCCCATTGGGCTCTCCAGTCATAGGTCTGAAGGTTTTTTCCTTGGCCCCCCTCCCAGTTGTCATGCAGCTGTTCCAGAACTGTCTCACCCTGCATATCAAATGAGAGCATGCAAATCCAGTGGAGCAGAGCCCTAGTATATGATCAAAAACATCTTTTTTATTTATGCAAATTTAAGCAGTCACAACTGTTGGACCACATGGTCTTTCAAGGGTGCTGATTTTTGAGCCAGTCTCCCACTTCTAGTGATAGCACAAACTGGAGGAACAAATAGAGGACTGGCTTCCAACCTGTTATTGCTTTTTCCTTTGTTCCCCTGGGTGATGTGTTGTAGGTACTCTGTACTGTTCATACTCCTCATTTCTCTTGACTTTCCGTCTTCAGGCTGGCTAATGGTTGAAGCTTTTCTTGTCCTTCTGTCTTGTCTGTGGCCATGTATGGCTGGATGTGCAGGCTCTTGGCTGCCACTTTGCACCCATGTTTGTTTTTAGTCCACTTCTTTAGCTACCTCATGACCTTGTTGCAGGCTGGATTTCTTATTTTTGTATTTTGCCATTGCTTTGCATGGCTGCTCAATGGTTGATTCCCCTCTCCACATGAAGTCTCCAACTCCTTTTTTTGTGGACTGCCTGTGCGCGGCTTGGTTTTCTCTTTTCTGCCCCAGTTGTCATTTCTCCAGCAGACTGCCCTGCATGATAGGAAGCAGTGCCTTTGTATTTTTTTTTTTTCCTTACGCAATAATTGCTATGCCAGGCTGCTTTCTAGTTTTGGGGAGGATTGTTGACACCCCAGGGGGATTTGGGGAACCACAAAATGTTCAAAGAGCCAGTGGCACCAAAATTAAATACTCACAAACATAAATGTAGATAAAGTTTAACAGCAAATCTTAATAATGAAATGCAGATGAAATATAAATGACCAAACAGCATAATTAAGGTATATCAAGCAAGTGATCAAAATTTGTATAAATCTAAAAAAAATACCAATCTTGTTAATATTTGAGAGAATTTAAAATTACTTTTCCAAGTCCTAAAGGCTTAAGCCTCTAACAGGTGGCCAGCTGGTTAGAGAAAAGGACTTTTCACCTAGGTTTCAGATTAAGTTTTTTAAAAGAGTGCTAAGCTTGGTTTATCTGCAGATAGGCTATTTTTTAGCAAGAATCATAGTCCAAGGCTGAAGAGCAAAAAGTCTGAGATGAACCTAGATTTTGCACTAAATAAGGCTGCTTTTTTAATGTTCCGAATAGGTTCTGCTCTAAATAATAATCATATGCCTATTTTTATTCCCCATTTAAGCCATCTGTCTTAAACTAGATCGAACTGGCATAAAACCACGAAATCTACTCTAAGCAACCTTTAGTCTACTTCTGTTAACCTGTCTTGCCTACTCTGACATTCTTTTGCTTGCTTATTACCCAATCTTTGGTCAAACAAATGCTATTCTATGTTGCTATTAAGCAGTTTAGGGCCTACTATAGTCTATAGCAGGTGTGTTCAAACCCTGGTCCATTGGTCAGATCCAGCCCATGAAGCTGTGTCATCTGGCCTGCAGGGCTTCCCATTGGTCTAAATTTGGCTGTGGGGGAACAGTGGTTGCTCCCCTAGCTGCCAAATGTCTGGACCTGTGGGAGAGCCTTGAAGGCAGATTGCATGGCCAGGTATGTGGGACAGTATGGCACGGGGCCCAATTCACGCAGTGCAGGATCCAGCCCATGGACCAGCCCCATGCCAGTCACCTGGCCCATGGAACTGAAAGGTTGAGTGCCACTGGTTTGTAGGATGAAGCATAGTGGTCCAAAATTGCCTTGCAGGGATCTCTTCCTCTCTGTTTTGACTTATCAGTTTCTTGGCTGTCTGTACTGTCAACACTTGCTTTCCTTGATGTCTCCTTCTCTGATCAGCATGTCATCGACTGTAGTCTCAATACCTGGGAGCCCCTCCAGTGCCTTGCAGATTCAAAAGCATTGCGAGTTTGCTGCCAATTCCACAGAGGCAAAATTCCAGCACATCTTGTAAAGAAGAGTCTCACTTCTGTACAGCCTTGATTATGTGCAACTAGAGCATGGTAGACTCATTTAAGAGTGGTAGTGTGGTCCTGCCCAGTCATGTGCACTGTTTCATTCATGTGCACTGTTCCATTCTTTTCTTACTGATGGCAAAGGGGGTGACAGGATATAGAAAGTATTTTTTTTTTATATTGGAATTTGGTGTTTTTTAAGGAAGGAAAGCTACTGTTTGTTCAACAAATGGTGCATTCTGTTTTTTCTTAACACAAAAATGTCTGTTGTGGACCAGGGCATAGAAATGCTTTGCTTTGTATTCTTTTCACCCAAAATGCTGACTGGGACTCTCCGATACAGAGACACCGAGAAAGTGCATAAATATTTAGTGCACTGCCCTGTTTATCTAGTAGGTAACCTGTCTACTGTATTTTTTTAGAACATTTTTTCTTTTCCTTTCCAGTTGTTTTTATTTAATTGACTTCTACTGTCCTGTAAGTCGCTTTACATTTAGAAATTTTAAATTCAACACTAAAGTTTTCACTAATGATTTCCTTTTTTCCCCACTTCTTTGATATTTTTTTTTTCTCTCTCTAAGACTGAGGGAGACTTTTGTGATTATTTAGACAAGCTTATTCTGTCAGCAGAAACCCAGTCGAGTGATATTGTTCTTCTCTTGAATGCATAAGCCAATAAGGTTTATGTGCTTGGAATAATCTTTCTGAGCTGGAAAAAGATTGTGCAGTCTGTTTTTAAAATGCCCCACTTTTTGAAAATCATTTCATTTCTATTAGAAATATGGTAGTCTGTGTAGAGCTCCTGAAATAATTTGAGGGAACAAAAATATTATTGCATCATCTAGTAATAATACTTGGCACTTTTATGTGGCTCTGAGCATCTTCAAAGATTAATAAGCTGTTACAAGAAAATTGGGTAGTCATTTCTAATAATAATTATTTGCCCTGCCTTACAGATGGGGAAACTGAGTGAGAAGAGGTTAAACGACTTCCCTGGGCTGTGAGGTGGGTTGGGAGGTAAGGAAAGTGGCATCATTGTCCAAATGAAATCGGGGTTTGACGGTTATGTGCTCTCAATTCTGTATTAGGACTGGGCCCTTTCTTAAGTTTCAGATATTCTTTCCTAAAGAAAAGCTTATTTTAAAGAAAGATCAGATTTCCCTTTTAAGATCTGTCACAATCTTGCTTCTGTTCACTTGCGTAGTAAAAAGTAGGGGTGCACCGATTAGAGATTTTGGGGGCTAATAGCCGATTTTGAAGGAAGCATATTGGCTGATCTGATCTGATTACTGATGCAGCTGCCTCCGGCTCGTAAGTCTGTTATGGTGGATGGGGAGGGGGGAGGGAACAGGTGTGGGGGGCCAGATCAAGGCCCCTGCAGTTAGGGAGGAGTGTGGCAG